TGCTGCTCATTGATACTGTTGCAGTACAATAACGACTAAGTTAGAGCTTTAAAATGAGCACAAATAGGTTAATGTTTCAGTATAAACAACAGAAAGGGCAGTAGGCTGATAAAAATGCCACATTGGTAACGGGTTCCGCGTAACGGCAAACAAATCATTGCTTTAGCATAGACAGCAAACAATGCATTGTTTTAGAAGAATTGACAACAGTATGACAAGAGGCCATTCCTTTCTCCAACACAAACGCCAAACGTATTGTTGTTTCGAGAGAAACAACAGACAAGTTGCAGCTTCGATGCAAACAGCCATCAATATAATGCTCAAACCAAAGGAGCATGCCAAGGGTTTAAGACAACCAACAGGCAGTTTATCGTCTAGTCCAAAGCAAAGCCAAGCCAAGAAGGAACAGTCTCTCTAGCAACTTGTACGTAACATCTCAACAGAACTGCTACAACGAGAACGGAGAAGAGACACCTCACTGTTGCATCTGCAGAGGCACGGAGCTCTTTGGAAGTGTCCATGACCACCTCATTGGATCCCAATGCTTCGGAGGTTGCAACAACTTGGGCAGGTTGAGCCGCACCAGAGGTTGCAGCTTGGTGCGCGCTGCTACTGCCAGGTGAGGGACCCTTGGGGCCCACCCGCTTCAAACCTAATAAGTTGTCCATGTCCCAGGGGGCCCCTGCAGTCTGTACGCAGCACCCGCGGCCAACTGAAAACTCACCCTAAACCTTTCTTTTAGCCTTCGTTACATGCTACTGCTGGACATGGTGCTGCTTTGGCTTCTGCTCCATGTGCTGTTTCCGTTGATGTTTGCGTTGCTGCTCATCTCTTTGCTACTCCTGCTTATGCTGCCGCCTTTGCCGGCGGTGCGGATCCTGCTCCCCCTTATGCCGATGATTGTGCTTAGGAAGCTGCTGTTGCTCCCGCTGCCCGTGTTTGTGAGCAGAGCGTAAGAATTCTCTTGTGTATTGGGCTTACAGTCTCTGCTGTGTTCAGTTCAAGGGCAGCCTCGGGCCCTACGATATGCACAAATTCCACCACACAGACCGCATGCCTTAAGCCCTATTCCGTGGACCCTGCGCTCTAGGCCCGAACCGTGATCACTAGATCCAACACAAACTTTGGGCCATGCTGGCAGCAGTAGCCTGGTATGTTCGACTGGACGTCAAAAAGGAAATTGAGTAGTGCTTCCCCCTCCGTAATGCATGCAGACGTTGTCTCTGTCTTCTCTTTCTCTTGCATGCAGCGCTATTGCTACTATGCAGCTCCGTGCAGCAGCGAACTTGTGGCTCTGGCGACAAACGCAAATCAGCAGTTTTTGTGTGCTTCAATAGCTGCCCCAAGCACCTCTCTTGCCTGTGTTGCTCATTCCGGATTCAACTCCCGACGTCGCATAGGGGAGTTGAGCTGAACCGTGGACAGAAAAAACAGAAAGGGGCTTGCTGCACGCCCCGTTGCTGCTGCTGTTGCTATTGCTGTTGCTGCTGTTGCCATTGCTGCCGCTGTTGGCGGCCTGCGGGCTCCTTTCGGCTGTTGGAGTTGGGCTGTGCGCAGGAGGCAACACAAAATACGTTGGTTTTCTTTGTGTTCCAGCACTTGTGTCCTGTCTAACGGGCCTCGTTGGCCTTTCATCTCTTCCAACAAGGAATCCAATCAAAAGCGAAAACGGAAACTCACTGATTCCAGATGAGCAATGCCATACAAGCAAAAACATTGCCCTACAGAAATAGTGTAATATCAGCGTTAACACCAGCACAGCAACGACGCTAACAACAACAACACTGGCAGTACCAGAGGCACCAGCAACAGGCTCACTGCTGAGGGGTGCTGTCCTTGGACAAATTCTGGAGCAGCTCCTCCACCGAGAACTACAGCGCAGAGACACAGTGGAAATCCAAATGCAAAGCCTACGCAAGTTACTGTTGATGTTGTTACTGTTTCTCGTCCTGCTGCCTTTGTTCGTGCTGGTGCACCTGCTGTTGTTGTTATCGCAACTGTTGTTGTTTGCATTTCTCCTGCCGCTGCTCATGCCAGTCATGGTACTGTTGTCGCTCGTGCAGTTGCTGGTGCTGCTGCTACGGTTGGTATTGCTTCTGCAGTAGCTTTGATGGCTTCTTCTACGGATGTTACAACTGCGGCTGCAGGACGGTATCCGTCTTTTGGGCTGCATGCACGGGCCTCACCTCTGCATGGGCCTTGGAGACACCGGTGCAGTTTCCTATCGCTCCAGATAGAAGCAGCGCGATGAGCAAGCACAATGACCAAATCAACGTCAGCGGAGAGAAGAAGCCGAGATGAAACAAAGCAAAAAACGCAAAGGGAGCCTTAGAGAGCAAAATAGGTACTGGCGATGTAGAAGCAGAGAAACGCAAACCCTTATTCCCAGTTAAACTGAACGGAGCAGCAGCCAGTACGTTTTTTCCCCGCTCGAGCGAACTAAAGCAACGAACACCATAATTCCTGCAACTGCAGAAGCTGTTGCTCCCTTCAGAGCCCTTCATGAGCACCAGCAGGAGCACGCAGAAGAATTCGTAGCAGGTGCAGCAAGAGCACCAGCAGTAGCACCAACATCCAAAGTAGCTGCAGCACTTGGCAGGGTAGTACTATCAACAATAGCAGAATAATAGCAGCCGTAGCAGCTGTAGCAGCATCCTACCGATGGTGTTCTTTGCTCTGGGCCAGTTGCTCTCATGTTGGTTGCTGCTCTCCTCCCAGAACGCCCCCTGTGCACACCCCGGATGTTTGAGGGTTTGACGGTTTCTCTTTTGTTCTTTCTCAACTTTTGTTTGTTTGGCTGTTTTCACTGATTTCCGTGGATTTCCACTTTTGTTCTCAGTTATATGTTCTTTGCTTTAGTCTTTAGTTGTCTACTGCTCGATAGTGACTCCTCAGTCGCGAAAACGGTGGGGATTTAGGGTTTAGGGTTAGCTCGTGTACTTTTCTGTCACCGACACCACTGGAGGGGCCCCCGAACCCTCGAGCCTCCTTAGAGATAGTGAGGGACCCGCTGGCCCCTGCAGCAGATAGGTTCATCGTTGCAGCCCTTTGCTTTTTTTGCTGCTTTCCGCTCGTCCAAGTTCGAGACGCTTCGTGGGCCCTACTGCTCAAGTCTAGCTGGGGGCCCTGGAGGGGTTCCTAGGTTTCTATCTTCCAGGGGGTGACCCTGGGCTCTAGGGGAAGGGCCCTCTAATGTGCTGCTACAGGTGTGTAGATGCAGCGGCAGGTAACTGCAGTCCTGCGCCTTGTCCGTAGTTTGCGCGTGTTCACACAGTAGCGGAGGTTATGGCCCCATTCGACCCCTTGATTGATTCACTTCGCTTAGATGTTGCTGCAATCATTAATCCTTTTTGTCTATCCAAATCCCTTGGAAGCCCCTACTGCTGCTACCGCCCGCTGTCTCCCAACGGCCCCGGCCGAAACGGGGCTGCTGCTGCTGCTGCAGCTGCTGCAGTGGTGTGCAGGTACTGGCGGTCATCCGCCTCTGTGCTGTGGGGCTAAAATGTTTAAACGTGTTAAGCCGAAGTAAATGAAGGAGTGAAAAAGATAAATTTCAGTGCACTTCGACCGCGAGTGCGATGGAAAAAGACAAACGGACACCGCCGCCGCCCCCGGACATCTCGACGGGTCGGGCCTCGAAGGCCGCCGACCTCCGGCAGGACATCGAGACCTCGGCACCTATACAGGCTGTGTAATAGACATTTTGGCATCGTATATCTTTTGTTTCATTTATTTAACCAGCAGCTTTCGTCTTCTCACCGTTTGCAGCAGCTGCTGCCCTGCCCAAGGAGCGCCGCCGAAGTCCGGCTGACCGCTGCAACGAGGCGGGCTGAGTCAACGCGAGACGCAGTGGATTCGGGGTTAGGGTTTAGGGATTAGGCTTTAGGACCTTTGATTTACGGTTTAGTTTCTATGGATCGGGGTTCAGTAACTAGGTTGTGAAGTTCAAGCTTCATGATTCCCATGGCCTTGCAGCGCCCCGCGCTGCTGCGCCACGAACGGGGGGCACCTGCTGCAGTTGCAGCAACCGCGACAACAGCAGCAGCAGGGACTAGTGGCTACCAATGCATTCTGTCTAGGCCGGGAGCAGACATGCCACGCTACGCTCGTGACTTCAGGCCCCAGACAGCCCTTGCCTCCAGCCAGAAGGGGCCCCATGTTGGAGGCCTCCCTGTTGCAAGTATCTCTCACGGGGAAACCCTGAGCCCTTCGCTCTGCCCCACGCAGCAGCAGCAGCAGCACACGCAGCAGCAACACTTGCAGCAGAAGCAGCAGCACCCTGCGTTGCAGCAGCTGGGTCTCAGTGCAATGTTATCTCGCTTCACAAATATCACTCCCTGCAGCGAGGCAGAATCTGCGGTCCTTAGCCGCCACTGCAGCAGAATTTACTGTATTGTGCCGCCACTACCAGCATCAAATCGCCCTGAGGGGCCTCATGCATGCTTGGCGAGGCCTTCCATATCTCAAACAGCGGAAGCACCTACACAGTTGAACCTCCACCAGCAACAACACACTTTCGCAAAACCAGGAGCGGCAGCAGCACCAGAATCAGCACTAGATGAGCTAGAAGGAACTTCCGTTTCTTTATCAGGACATCATCAGCAGCGCGCCGGAGTCCCTGACGCACCGCAACAGCAATGGCAACTCGGAACCAACTGGGCGGCTCCCCTGCAGCAACAGCAGCATCAGCAGAGGCCGGACCTGCTTCTGCAGGGAGAGACACCAAATTCCGAGCAACAGGTGCTCGAATTACAGCAGAAGCTACAGGGATTGAGAATGCAGCAGGGCCAGGGGCAGCAGCTGCTAGATCTAGAGCAGCAGCAACACCGGCAGCTGCAGGGGCTGGGACTACAACTGCAACAGGGGCACATACAAAGGCCGGTACAGACACAGCAGCAGGAGAAACTACAGGCGCTAAGAATGCAGAGGAATCAGGAGGCACAAGTCCAGCAGCAAAGGCGGCAGAAACACCAGCAATTGCTGCTACATCCCGGCCAGATGGGAGTCTGGTCGAATACGCAAAAGCAGCAACAACAGGCACTGCAGAAGGAGCTGCAGCACGAGCTGCAGCACGAGTTCCAGCAGGAGCTGCAACAGGAGCTACAGCAGGAGCTGCAGGAACTGCAGCAACACGAGCAGCAGGGACGGCAGGCCATGCGCCAGCATCAGCAGCGGGACTCGCAGCAGGAGTTAGATCGAGAGGGAGAAGACCTGCAACAGCAGCAGCAACAGCACCAGCAGCTCGAAAGCGAAGATGCCACGGAGCAGCAACAGCGGCTAGCTGCAGAGCTGCAGCACGTCGAGCAGCAGCTAGCTGATAAGGAGGCACTTTTGGCCCTGTTTGAGGGGGCCTCCGAGCAGAAGCAGAGACTGCAGCGAGCGGTGCAATTGCAGCAGCTGCAGCGGCAGCACCAGCGGCAGCAGCAGCTCCTGCAGCTTATTGAGCAACAGAAGGAAGTGCTAGCCAAGCAACGGCAAGAAGTGGACACGAAGCAGCGAGAGGTAGAGAAGAGTTTGCTGCTGCTGCAGCAGCAGCAGGAGGCCCTGAAGTCGCAGCAACAACAGCAACAGGCAGCAGCGGAGGCACAGCAGAAACAGCAACGGCGGCTTGAAGAGCAGCAGGCGGCCTTTCAGAAAGCTCAAGACGAATTCGCTGCGGAAAAGAGGGTGCAGCAGCAACAACAGCAGCAACTGGCTGAGCTGCGAGAGCAGCTCCAGAGGCAGGAGGCAGAGCTCGCAGAGAAGCGAGGGAGGCATCAGCAGCAGCAGCAGCTCCTGTTGCAACAGCAAGCAGACATGCAAGCCTCTCTTAGGGCCCAAGGTGTGCAGCTGCTGCACCAGCATCAAGCGCTGCAGCGACAGCTGCAGCAGCAGCGAGAATTGCAGCAGCAAATCCTGGACCATCAGCGGCAGCAACTCGCAGAGACACAGGACGCCTTGCAGCAGCAACAGGAGCAACAGCAGCAACAACGGAAGCAACATCAGCAGCAGCCATTAGGCGGGCCCAGCGTGGGTCGGCGTGTTACGAGGGAGGCGGGGATAGAACCTATGCTACAGCACGTACAGCAGCAGCTGTTGCAGCAGCAGCAACAGCAGCAGCAGATGCAGGAAGAGCTGCTGCAGCACTTGAAACAGCAGCAGACTGCGGAAGACTCTGCCCACGAGACAAGATGGTGCCGCTGCGACTTCAGAAGCCCGCTATCCTCGAGGGCCCCCGGCTCCATGGGAGGTCCCCTCGATGAGCAAAGAGATTCGGAAGGATCTACGCGCCTGCCTTCATCTGAGAGCAATCCTAAATTAGGGGGCCTTTTGGAGTCCGGAAACAGCTCAACGCGGCCCCAAGGGGGCCGCTCAAGGAACTATCCAAAGGGTTCCCTCAGGGGCCTCTGCAAGGGGCCGCTCAGGGGCCAGCAGGCAATACCCCCGGAAAACCCCATCGAGGAGGTCCAGACAACTGGACTAACGAAGGTGGGGGCACAGAACGGCGCCATACAAGGAAGAAAAGGGGGCGCCCTTGAGGTGGCGCCCTGGAGCTCCCCTGTGGAGGCCCCCTCGGGCCCCCATGGGCGAGGGTGGGCCTCCACATGCCCACCCCGTCTGCTGCGTTCAACGGAATCGCAGAGGCTGCGCGAGGAGTCTTTGCAGAAGCATCTGAAGGCACTGAATGAGGCGAAAAGGCCAGGAGGCCACCGGGAGGGGCCCAAGAGGGGGCACCCGGAACACTCCCGCCTCCCCTCAGCTGAAACAGAACACTCTCACCGGTCTACGAGTCGCAGTAAGAGCAGCCCTTGGAGGGGCCCACAATACGCATCCAGAGAGGCCTCCTGCAAGGGCACCTCCAGAGCGCCAGTCCAGGAAGAGTCCCGCAGCGGCATCCAGAAAGGGGCCCCGCTAAACCCTCGCGGGACACGGGTGCAGCAGCAGCAGCTGCAGCAGCTGCTGCAGGAGCAGCGGAGGGAAATAAGCCTGCTGATTCTTGAGAAGCAACAGCTCGAAAAAGCTGCCGCAGAGGCAGGGGGTGCCTTGGGGGCCCCTTTGACCCCCCGGGGTCCCGTGAGACCCATCGCGCTCCCGAAAGAGCCATATGTCCAAAGTCCAGCCAACTGCGCAGAGGCAGACGGTATGTTCGCACCCCTACCTTATATCCATTCACTTACCTATGCTCTTTTCAAATATATATGTACAATATATATATATATATATATATATATATATATATATATGTACAGGTGTGCTTGTATATTGTGCACACAAAAAGATCCACGCGTTTCGTTGTACGCTTCCATTTTCTGATTAGCGAGCAGAGTCCTACTTTTGTTTTCGCCAGACCTGTCTGCATCTCTCTGCCGCTCCCTGCTGCTACTGTGCGTCCGTCTGCTTCAGGGGGGCCCCGCGGGTGCGTGTGCGGAGGCGAACATCCCAGGACTGCTTGGGGGCCCCTAGACGCTGCTTTAGCTGAAGTGCACAACAGTAATGAAGGACTTCAGCGCTGGACCAAAGTCAATGAAGGCGTTTACTTCTATGGGGACACCCAAGTGGGTGGAAGGCGTCTGTCTCTTCCAATATGCTTCACATACAGATCTATCTTTGTCTCCGTCCTTGCATTCATCCGTGGTCTGCCATTTGGCTTTGTTTTCGGAATAAGCTCTGTCTTTCTCTCTGCTGCCCTTGTTCTTGGCTCTGTTTCCTTCTTCTCTCTGTGTCCATATCTTTGCCTTTATATTTGTCCTTACGTATATCTTAGCGCTCGCCTCTGTCTCTGCTTTTATCTCCGTCCCTCTCCATATCTTTTGTTTCAGCTTTATCTTCCATCACCTGTCTTCGTGATTACCCCTGTCTCCGTTGCTGCTACTTGCCTGCGTTTTCCGCCGTTACATGGCTGCTTTCGTTATTTGTGTGTCTGATTTACAGCTATTTGCGTGCACGTGCTGTTGCTGTTTGCATTTATTTGCTGCTGCAGGTGTCTCTAAGTTTTATAAATGGCCGTCTTATGGCTCAGACCGATGGAGGGCCCCTCAGCTGGAACAAGGGAGCCCGAGGAGATATCCTCAAGTTCATCCGTGCTGCAGATGAAAGGCGAGCCCAAACCAACGTCTAACATCGTCTGCTGCAGCTGCAGCAACAGCTGCAGCCAGAGCAGCAACATCTGGAGCCCCTGGANGCAGAACGGTAGCCCCGTTCTGCGGCAGCAGCAGCAACAGCTGCGGCTGCACGCACTGCCGGCTGTAGGGCCGTAAGAGGAGGCCACGGCTCTTCATATTCTCAGAGGCTTACAGTTGGCTGCTTAGCCCCACACACTGAGGTGCTGTAAACAGTTTAGGGTTTAGTGCAGCTCTACGCAAGCATATGGAGCTGAACATGCACAGCGACATGCAGGGGCTCCCAAGCAATCAGCAGCAAGCGGGCCTTGAAAAAACCGAAGAAACCCAAGGCTGCAAAGCCTTTAAACAGTTGTTCGGGGCCCCATTTTATGCCCCATGGAGGGTGCGGACCCTCAAGGGCTTGCGGTGAAGCCGCAAAAGACTTCCTTACGGGCCCCTAGCGGTGCTCCCCCAATAAATGGGTTGAGAGATATCAAAGCCAGCCGCTGTTCTACTGGGCTAAACGTCTGCTGCAGCAGCAGCGCATGCGTTGCGGCGAGCTGCAGGAGCAGCAGCACGTCCGCCTCAAGCAGCTGCTGAATGGCAGCAGCAACACGAAGCAGCGGCACAAGCTCCTCAATGCGCACAGCAGCTCCACTAGCAACTCTACCTGCGGAAGTGGGAGCGTCTTCGCTGCAATGCTGTGCCNGAAGCCCCCATTCTCCTGAGAAGAGAAGCCAGAGCGTCCCCAGCAGGAGCAACAGCAGCAGTTGCTGCCGCTGCTGCTTCAGGCCTCAAATGCTGATGCGAGAGGTGCAGAACCAGCGTTGCTTCGACCTGAGCGCATACGCGCTGCAGCAGCCTGCAGCAAATGGGACCCATGCGCTGCGCTGCGGCTCGAGATATGCTGCTGCCAGCTGCAGCTGCTGCTGCTTCCGGTGTACTGACACCTGCTGCTGCAGCAACTGCAACAGCAACAATGCCCCGCAGCACGCAGTCTAGGAGACAGTCTGCTGCAAGGCCCACGACTTCCGCGTATACCTGCGACAAAAACAACAATAGAAACAACAGTATCAGCATTCAGCAGCGCAGCTGTTACTGCTGCCGCTTTTGTACCCGAGCTGCAGCAGCAGCTGCTGCACAGGACTTCTGCATCTGCAGCAGCGGCATGCGCCGAGAAGAACCATCTCTTTTTAAGTGACACGCGATTTATGAGGGTTTGGGGTTTGTTGGAAGGCCAAGGGTCTAGAGTTTAGGGCGGACCTGCAGCGGTAATAGGGGTAGTAAGTCGAGGGCTGCACTATGGAGGCGCTGCGTAAGGAGGCCCGCAGCTGCTTCCACATGAATTTCGAGGCTGCTTTTACTGTTGTTGCTGCTTCTTGATGCATTCGTAAGGATTTGAATGAGCTCCTTTGCTGCTTGCTGCAGCCCCTGTTTCAGGGCCCAAACTAGACAAACATACGACTCCTCTTGCTGCCGCTTCAATGCAACCACGATCTCTGCGAGCTGCTGCCCGAATGGTGCCTCCTGCTGCTCCTTCCCCGCTGCTGCCGCAGTTTCGGGTGTAACAGAAGCAGCACCAATGGCGTCAAAGAGAGGCAATGAATCCCCCCACACCGTGAAGGCGCGCCGCGCTGCACCACCAGGGCAAGGGCAGCACCTGCTTTTGCTGCTGCATGAGCAGTTCTCGTAGGAACCTTTGCTTGCAGCGCCTGCAGCAGCGGAGAGCAGCAGCGGCAGCCGCGTCATCCAGCGTGAGAGAACTTCAGTGTCTGTCCACCTCAGCGCCAGGGCCCGGAGGTGGGTTGGCACTGCAGCAGCAAGTGCAGCAGCGCCACCAGCATCGGCCGGCACAGCCGGGGTTGTCGCAACAGCAGAACCCCCTGCTACAGTAGGCTCTGTTGCTTGGCTCTCCGCTAAGGCTCCCAAGGGTCTCAGCAGCAAGAATAAATCCGCTATCGATACGACTGCAGCAACTTCTGCACGGAGGGCGATACGGCTGCAGCAGCAGCAGCTGCTGCTGCAGAAACCGTGGAGCCCCCCGCGCCTGCTGCTGCACCAACACGGCACAGCGTTAACACCGCACCCACCACCGCCACCGCTCCTCCAGCTGCTGCAAGTGCAGGTGGAAGCAGCAGCTGCTGCTCCCCTAAGCAGCGACTGCAGAAGTTGCAGCAGAAGCCACGTTTGGCGCGTAATCCGCAGCGGCGCGAGCTGCACGAGAGACACATCTGCCTCCTCAGCAATGCACTGAAGCAGCAGCAGACGCTGCTGCTGCTGCTGTTGCGGTTGCTGCTGCATGGGAAGACCTTGCGGCAGCAGAAACTCGTAAATGCCACCAGGGACGCTGTCCTCTGTAGCCAACATTGTGTCTTGCTCAGCAGCAGCAGCTGCCGCTGTAGCTAATGTTTGCTGCAGCAGCTGCCGTGCTGCTGCCTGCAGCTCAACCTGACGCCGTCTGTCCTCCTGAGCCAGCAAATGTAAGGCTTTCCACGAAGCTCCGCTGCCCTGTTGCTGAAGCAGGGGCAGCAGCTCCTGCTGCTGGAGTACGCCCTGCTGCAGGAGGAACAGCTCCGTCTGTACAATCCCAGCAGCAGCCGACGCCACCGCAAGAAATGGTAGAGCGTGTGCTGTTGCTCCTGCCGTTGCTGCTGCTGCTGCTTCTGGTTTTGGCTCCAGCCAAAGCTGCTTGGCAGCCTGCTGCAGGAACAGCTTTCCCAGTTGCTGCTGCAGCTGTCGCTGCAGCAACGGAGCCCAAACCCTAAGACACATTGGGTGGCCGCCAGTTGCGTGCTGCAACAGGAACTGCAGCAGCGACTGCACCACCAGCAATACACCCTGCGGCGTTAAAGAAGCAACCGCTGCTGCTTCTCCTGCACCTGCGGCTGCTGCACCTGCTGCTGCTGCAGGTGTCCCATCTGGAGCTNCACTTGAGAAAACCAGAAGCTTCTTGCTGTTATTGTTTCTGGCGCGACTGCCAGCAACAACAGCAGCGAGCAGCGGATGCAGGGCGTTGTTGCTGATAGCTTCAGTTAAAGTGTACAGGCGGCGGCGCAGTAGCCCAAGACAATTCAACGCCTCCCACACATCTCTTAAACGTAGGTAGGGAAATTCTGCTGCTGCTGTTTTTCTTTCTGCTGCTTCTCTTGCTGTTCTTTCCTTTATTTCTGCAGCACCAGCGGCTGGTGCTGCTGCAGAGGCCTCAGCACCCGCAGCTGCTGCTGCTGCAGAGGCCTCTGACGCTGCAGTGTCGTTGCGTGTAGCCATTCCGGGTGCCTCTGTGGCCACGGAGCTGCTGCTAGCTTCTTTCCTGCTGTTGCTGCTATTGCTGGCGCTGCTGTAAATGAGAGAGTTGACGGTGATCTGCTGCGGGGCGAGCTTGAGGTGCTGCTGCAGCTGCAAGTCAAGGGCCTCCACGAGGTGGCCGTACACCTCAGCAAACTGCTGATGCAGCTCCGCCACAATAGCGGGCTCTTGCCTTCCTGTTGTCGCTCTTAGCAGCGGCAACAGCCGCTTCAGGGCGCATTGTCGCAGGGTTGCAGCAGCAACGGCAAGTTGCTGCCGTTGCACCAGTAAACCACAGGCTTCCAGGTCGTGCTGCACCTCTTGAAGCAGCAGCAGGCACGCCTCTACTTCCTGAATACAGCGCAGCTGCAGCAGCAGTTGTTGCTGCTGCTGTTCCCGTTCCTGAAGTCGCAAAGCCAGGGGTCTCCTCGAGATGCCCTTCCCCAGGAGTTGCTGGTGGAGCTGCGGCACCCGTCGGCACACCTGCTCCGACTGCTGCTGCTGCTGCTGCAGCGATAGTTGCATGTCCCGCAGCCGCTCCTCCCCCTGCTGCAACAGCAGCAGCACTCTGCATTTGGCATCCCTCTCCGCTCCCCACACATCCTGCAGCAGTCGCTCGAGTTCCTGCAGAGACACTGTAGCGGGAAGCGGCTCGGCTGCCACTGCTGCTGCTTCCGAATGCGGAGATACACACGCAGCAGCAGCACCGAAGTCCCCATCAGCTGCCTGCATCCTGTTGCCTTTGCAGCTGCACCCGGGGAGAATAGGCTAGGGCACAGCAGCAGCTGCAGCTGCTGTGGCACGAGCTGCCTTTGCTGCTGCTGAAGGGACGACAAGGGAATTTCTTCTGCTGCTGCAAGTTGCTGCAGCAGCAGCTGCAGGTGCTCTCTGCCGGCTGCTTGCTGCGGGTTGGGGTCCTTCTGGTGTCTCCGCAGCAGAGGGTACAGCAGCAGCAGCAGCAGCAGCAAGGACCTGGTGTGAGGCGAGAATCAAAAAAACAGGCAGAAGCCAAAAACTCCGCCAGCAGCAACACGGTCTCCTGCTGTGCACAGCACGAACGTGTTAACGCTTGCTGCTGCTGCTGCTGCTGCTGTAGTGCACGGGGACTACAATAGCTCCTCGGTGTGGCCTCTAGAGGCCCAGTATCATGAAAAGGATTACATACTATAGAATATCTCAGGAGTTAGGACATCCTTACATAAGAGAAGATGCATAATAGGATCGGAGTGCTCACCAGTCGGCACCTGCGTGGGGGCTGGGTGTGAGGCTGTGACTCTGATACTGACCCTCAACGAGGGTCAGGAGGAGTTCTATTCTTCTGAGGATTTCCTTCAGGAAGAAATCAGGAACTCCAATGCTTTTTGAATAGTCAATGGATATTATAGTGAGAATAGCGAGAATTACGAGTTTAGATCCTTAGAAGCAGAGTGTGCGCTCAGCCACGTAGCTTAGGGTTCATACGTAGTGACAGCAAAGGGTCGCTGTGCACTACATTTGGGGACCGTTCCCAGAATAAAATTAAAATGGAATGAGAAAATTATTGAGTTTGACTTAAAGGAGAAGAAAATCCTTTTTTTTCTCCCACAAAACCCGAAGTGACCTTCGCACCTAAGTGAACCACGGGGATGGACAGGCATCTACGCAACGGAAAAGTGATACAACCTCCACTAGAATCGAACGCAGGAATGCCGAATATAGTTGTATCTAGTAAGGAAACCGCGGGGCATCCTATTGAATCGAAGTGAACAGAACCCGGTCGCGAGATCAGCCAACCCACCGCAGGGGTAGGCCGACCGATACCGAGAAACCCGGACCGCGACGCTGGGGGACGCTAGGAACCTGAAATGAATCAAGCCTGGATGGAACAGGGAATGTCCCAGTTATTTCGGCAATTTGTCTCTCAGATGGCACTGGGGTTAGGACATGCGCCCCAGATTGCCATAGGGTACGAGGACGGCAAGAACATGAGGAATTTCCTCGATCGTGTGGAGATATATTTCGTTGAACGGGGGCTGGAAGCTCGGCAGTGGGGAGAAGAACTAAAACGATATCTGACGGGCGAAGCCTTGGGTTACTGGTTGTACTTGCGTCGTACGGGAGGACCACTGACTGATTGGGAACATGTGAGACAGCAATTCTGTGCCCGATTCTGTAACATAACAAAGGAAAGGATGAAAGTGATGATAGCAGAGAA